AAAATTTAAAATAACTTTTGTTGAGAAAGAAACAACTTTAATTTAGTGCACTAAAAAGGGAGGGAAAAAACTTAATCTGAAATCATTTTAAAGTACTCTTATACTGTTCTTATTCCATTTCATACTATTTTTTAAATTAGATAAAGTTTAAATTAGTTGTGAACCTCGTTCTAGTAGTATTAGTCAACAGAAATCAGTGTTGAGGAGGATGAATGGACTCAACAGAGAAGAGCCAGACTAGTAAAGTTTTTATTTTAATTTTTTTTAAACATATAGATATAGCCAACATCAAACATCTATTAAAAATAAGATTTTTATCCAGCTTCAGAATTCAATTAGCTATAATGGGTATTGAAGAAATATTAATTTTTGTAAGAGAGAGTCAAGTCAAGGTGGTTGAACCATCTTTAACTGCTGATAATAAATAGCATTTAACTTGAACATAACCTAACCCTCACAGTGGACCTCTAGGTCCTAAGAGAACTTTACAATTAGATAAAGACCTTAGTCAAAGATTGTAATTTTGTGATTCTCAATTTTTTTTTCATATATATAAATATATATATAGGAATAACTAGCTTTTTTTTTTATTGTGTTAGTAAATGACAAGATATACTGGTAGTAAATATGTGGCAATACACAGACTGATGATGCAGGGTAAAAAAAAACAAAATTAAACAAATTATATATATATATATATATAAAGTTTAAAAATGTTTAGGAAATTTTTTCGTACTAGCTCCGTTATTTTCAGGTGCATTTTTTTTATTTCTTGTCATATGGCGTGCACCAAATGAAGAAAAATTGGCACTGGATGTATATTTATCCCAATGTATCTCAGGTAAAGAAGCAATTTTTTGCATCTTAGGCCAATTCAAATCTGTGCCTTTCTGAAGCTGTTGAACAAAAGCCAGAGGGTCAGTTAAAGCCTCTTCCTGGACTTTGTAGAGGACTTCAATGTCTTGAGCTGCTTGCTGCCTTTGTGCCTCCAGAAGTGCTATTGTATGAAGAAGATTGTGGTAATCTGGATTCTCCTTCAATGCAACATGATCAGACTCAAAGTAATAGGGTTCATTAATTTCTTCATATGAAAAACCAGAAGTCATTTTTTTTTTTCAGAAATCGTTGCAAAAGCCTAAAAAAAACAACAACACATGAACAAAATCAGATATAGAATGCTATAGTGTAACTATAGATATATTATTATAAAACAACACTTGCAGTAGTATGAGTACTAAGAGTGATCTAAACCATAGTACCTGAGTCTAGTTTACATAGACCTAGTCTGCTAAAATTATAAAATGATACTAATCTAAGTGAGGAGTAAATGATAAATGTAATACAGTCATTCAGTGTAGAGTGTAGTGTATACTTGTATGAAAACAATAATAATGTCACAATGTGTATAGTGTATTCAAGAATAGTGAAAAATAGTAAAATGGTACATTCATTTTGTTTATTATTATTTGAGTATTTATACCTCTAGATTCTAGAGTATTGCAAGCAGATTTTTTTACCCATTTAGATCTATTAGACTATTTTTTATTTATATGTGTTTCAAATTGAAGCTAAATATAGATCTAGACCTAGATTTTGTTTTCTTATGGCTATGGGCATGGGTATAACAGTCAACTCTTCTCTTGTATGGGTACACGCAGACTGACACACTTTGGTACACACAGGAGCGCCCCCTCGCGCCAACGCATACTTGCAAACGGATATGGTGGACGCTAAATCTAAATTATAAGTAACAATAATATAAATGAATAAATGTTTGTTTTCCAAACGGAAAATAGAACATGAAAGAAATGGATATAATATTATAAAGGTAAGATGCAATGTGGAAGTAAAGACTGCATAGATCTAGATAGATCTAAATTGTTCTAATGCATAATTCTAATTTACTCGAAAAAAATCTATTTTAGTCTTAGCCTAAGTCTAGATTTGGAGAGAAGCGACTCTTACCCTAGTCTTGGATGAATATGATTTCTTCCTTCCTTTTTTTTTTCATGGTTTATCGTTCTTGGCATGTTGTTTGGTGATGCAAGTAATCGTAATCAGTGAAAAGATGGTATTAGTTTATTATCGATTACTTTAATAATTTAACGCGTATCTTATCTTAAAATTTACATTTATTAGATTCTAGACTATAAACTAATTTGACTATATATACTCCAAAAACAAGATCAAAATCGTACCAAAATGTCATGCAAATATATTTACTTAGATCTATAATCTATATAGATCTATTAAATCTATTATATAACATAGTCTTGATGTGCATTCATTCTTCGGACATTTCAAATAGCCAGAGAAATGCAGGCTGCCTGGTCCTGGTCATGTGGTTCCAGCATCTAGAATCTAAGATCTAGATGAGTAGATTATGTGACGATGTGCGTTAGCCCCAAACCTGCATCACAGTGCATGTTATTACGATTTGGGTTCGAAACCAAATCGCTGCCATGCCTTTCCATCTTAACGGAGATGTGGGCTTGAAAACAATGTTTATTTCTGAAGAAACGTAAAAAAAAAAAAAAAAAAAAGCCAGTTAAAAACTGAAGAAACCACCAAATAGCCAGAGAAATATTATCAGCCTTAGAGCTGTTGGGTATAGATCTAGACCTAGATCTATATATAGATCAATATGTAATAATATTATAATATTCTTCACTTTATTTTTGTGTTGTAATATATTATATTTGAAGTTATCTCAGTTTTAGAGCGACCAATAATTATAATGCTCTTCATAAGGTCTCATAAAAAAGTTGGGCTTTTTTTTCTTAAATAGAATTTCAAATAATGCATTTTTTAAATTAAAAACTTGTTTCGTAACTTAGATTTTATGCATTTTTTACTAGATAAATGTGAATAATTATTTTCTATTATCTAAAGCCTTATATACTATTACTTTTTCAATGTAACATTTATATTCAAAGCAGTTAGCAGAGTTTCTTTTCAATGGATGCTATGGAAGAGACTGTAGATGTAGATGAAGGATCTCCAGACTCTGCTGATGGTGACACAACTGATACACAGACTTCTCAAGATCCCAATGGATGCAAGAACAGATCAAAAAGAAAACCCTCAAAAACTCAGATCAAACATATAGCCCCGAAAGAGGAAAATTGTGACACATCTAAATATGGTGCACAAAACATTGATGACTTGTTCAACGATGTCACCCAAGGCTTATATCGAGGGGCACACTTACAACTTTGCTCTTCACAACCTTTAAATTCTCAATCCCTTGCATCTAGTTGTGCTTCCTACAATTGCTCCACGCCTCAGGCAACTCCAAAACGTAACAGAAGGTTGTCTGCAGGATCAGCAGCAAGCATCAGAGCGTCACTGTCACGTCCTCCTCCAAGTTATCCCTGTGGTATATGTGGTAAAGTGTTTCGTGTTCCAAGTCGTTATGACAGTCACATGCTGGGTCATAGCAAAGGAAAACCTTTCTGCTGTAACACTTGTGGCAAAATGTTCTCAACAGAAGACAAACTTGAGCATCATCTGCCAGTGCACAATACTGATCGCAAAGCTTCTTTTACTTGTGAAAGTTGTGGCAAGGTAATACTTATCCATGACAATTTAAAAAGTGTACTAATGTCTTTCTTTGATTATTCTTCTTCTTCTTCTAGCCAGCTTTATTGCTGCTGAGCTGTGAGCTCTTTTGCAGACTGTGCCAAGGAAAAAAAGTGTGCTGTTTTCTTCAGTTGTTCAGCACTGCCGTACAGGTGTTGGTTATGTTGGGCTGTAGTGGAAGTAGGGTCTGCCAAAAGTGGATTAGGGTGGGGCATTCAAAGAGGATATGGTTTACGGTTTGAAAGGGGTGGGCGCAGTGTCTGCAAAGGGGGAGTTGTGTGGAGTTTATTTTGTTCAGGTGGTAATTTAATAGTGGTGTGTGTCCTGTTCTTAGTTGGAAAATTGTAGATTGTTCTTTGCGGGAAGTTGATACTGTCCAGATTTTTAGGCCTAGTCATTTCTTTGTACATGGCTAAGCCTGTGTTTCCAGATGCTCATTGGTTGAGCCACTCCTCTTTGTGATTGTTGACTAACATTGACCTTAGGGTGAGGTAGTTAACAGGTCTATCTGGTTTCTTTGATTATAATTGCATTATTCTCTTTTTAATATTAAGTATTTATTTGAATGAAAACCTGAGTGCATATTATATATTTCTAAGATTTGAAATGCATGACTAAATGCTTGAATTAATTAGAGTGTATTCTCCACAAGTTTGGTTATCCACTTAAAAAAAAATTTGTTATAAATTACAGATGTTCTTTAAAAAGCAGAAGATTATTATGTCCTATGCATAACCATGTGTTAATCTAGTAGTGCATGTTAATCTGTCACTTAAACTCTGCCAGGTCATCTGTATTCTTGGCTGATTCAAGCAACCTGTCTCATAATCTAAAGGTACTAGGGCAGAAGAACCTGTACACTTTTGTTCTAACATTTTTATGGAATAAGTTTGTACCTTAATTGTTATAAAGGATTGATCAGCTCATTGCCCATTTATGGTTTTCTTTCTCAAACTGATCATTAAGTTTTATTACATTCTTCAGATAACAATTGGCAAAAGTTTGAGTATAATATGTGTATTAATATTAGTTGTAATTTAACTCATAGAAGCCTGGACTACCTTGTCATTGCTATAGTACATTTTTATCTTTCTTTGAGATGCTCTGCTTCATGGAGCTCTGTTTTTGATTCTATTAGAATGTTTTGAAGTAATATATATTTCAAATTTCAGATGTGTGTTAACTGGCGTGCATACCTTTATCATTTGAAAGCTAAACACACAGAATCTGGTGGGAAAAGATTTTCTTGCAATGTAAGTGGTTTCATTACCATAATAATGGAAAAAAATAGTTTTGCATGAATTTGGCAAATTGTGGTCTCCCACTTAACATGGAAATTATTTTCAATTTAAATGATTACCTTTCAAACCTTCAGTAAAATGTATCCAATGAATTCTATCATTATCACATGACATCATGTGCGGTGTGGCTTTAAAAATTTGAGTATTAAAAAATGAGTAAACAAGTAAATATTCATTTTCATGCACACAGAGATTCTAATTCTACATTCTAGATATTCAGAGATTACTGATAAATATTTGAAAACATAAATATAAGGGCTTTTTCCTATTTAATCTCCATTGCCATAGCCACCATGTTTGATTTCTCAAGCTTTGTCTGTCTGGGGTTAGCTTAAAAAGTCATCTTTTCTTTGTCATCTGTCTTGGTAAGAGTTCTCCAGCTGCCTCTTTAAGAAGCCATTACTGACCAAGTGTTCTCCTATAGCTGCCTCTTTAGGAAGCCATTAGTGACCAAGTGTTCTCCTCTATGTCAGTAAAACTCAGCTGGACTTATAGTCATCACTTTTATATATGTAATAACAATCTTAACAGATCAATACATAGACACTAAGATAAGTTTTTCATTACAAGTTACAAACACAATTACTTTGTTAAAACAATAACTAGCTTTAACAAGTAACTTTTACCAACGCTTAGATTAGTAATATGTCTGTGTCTAGTAATTTATTCCAACATATCATTGAATGGCTTAACTTCATTTCTAGTTTAATAAAAAGGAAAGGGTTATTAAGTCAGGGACATAGTGTTGTAATAATTGTTCATTTTCTGATGTTCCTAAGGGATGTGCTCTTTTTTGTTATGAATTTTAATTATCTTCCCTATCATTGCTTCTGCAATCGCTCTCATTTACTTTTAATCCCTTAACTTTCCTTGAAAATTGGCCTTATTTAGTATTCTTGACTCAGTGTAAATGAGCTGATGCTATCCCTGAACAACTTGCTTCTCTTCCTCCCATCACTTCCCTTTCCTTTAACTTTGACCATTTTTGTTCTGTAAGAATTTTTTTCTTGAAAACGACATTCTATTTAGCTTTTTTTTTATTTACCAGTCTCATTGATCAAATGCTAACATAATTTCTAACTAAATGTTTTTTGTTTTTTTTCAGTTATGTGGCAGGCAGTTTCATACAGGACAACGTTTAAGAAACCACATGGCTAGCCATGAAATCGGCAAAAATCATTGCTGTAATATTTGTGGCAAGTTGTTTGAGAGTAAAAAGAAATTGGACACCCACGTCATGGTTCATAATCTGACCAGTAAACATGACCAAAATTTGCAGTGTTCAGACTGTGGTCGCCAGTACAGCGAATGGATAGCCTTCAAACAGCACATGAAGACACATGGTGCTGAAGGTGTGCAGTATCCCTGTGGGCTGTGTGAGAAAATTTTCCCAACACAGTATGAGAAGGAGAAACATAAACGTGTCCACAAACAGGTTCAGTGTGAGTTCTGTGAGAGGTTTTTTCGCTCTGCATCGGTTTTGTCTGTGCATTTGAGGATTCATACAGGGGAGAGACCTTATAAATGTGGCTTGTGTGAAAGGGACTTTTCACAGGCTTCTGTATTGAAAGTTCATATGAGGACACACAGGAAAGAGGGTAAGTATGACTGTAAACGGTGTGGCAAGATATTTCTAGAGGTCATGGAATTTTTTAAGCATCACATGGGGCATCTTGAAGAAGGAAATCTTCAGTGTGAAGAGTGTGGGAAAATGTTTGAGAGCATAAACAATAAAAATCGCCACATGGCAGCACACAGGGACAGGGCTGGAAGAATTTGTCACATATGCGGCAAAGAGTTTGGCAGAGTGTCACATCTTGAGGCGCATATGATATGTCACTCGAATCAGCTGCCTCTTCTTTGTAAAATTTGTGGGAAAGTGTTTCCAAATGAAGAGGCACTGACCACTCACTTTGCCAGCCACGTAGGAGGAGAATCATCAGGAAGCACTCAGTTGTCAGGTACTAAAGGACCACTTTTTTGTGGTTTATGTGGGAAGATGTTTAAAGGCCAAGTATTTCTAAACAATCATATGAAAAGGCATGAGCGTGGAGGACTGGATTCACGAGGGAGAAACCAGATACCTGATGAGGATGTTGAGGAAGTAGATGGTGGAGAGTTTGTGTGCGCTGACTGTGGCAAAGCCTTCGGTAAGAAGCATCATCTGGCTGTGCACAGGCGAGAACATACTGGTGAGCGGCCATATACCTGCATTTTGTGTGCTCAGAGCTTCACCTTGCGCAAATCACTTTTGGAACACATCAGTGAACACAAGCGTAATGGTCTCATGATGTATACAGTTAATCACGAAATTACAAATCTTGCTAGTGAGAACTCTGACAATCTTAAACCCGCTGATAGCAGTTTTCAAGACAGTGACAGCGGTTCAGACACTGAAACTGATCATGAAGGCAGTGATAATATCCAAACTAAACCTCACACAGCAACCTCTAAGTATGAAACACGAGTCTATCCCAGTCATTCAATGCCTGTGCAAAACAACACATTTAAAGATGACTCATATTTAAAGCAGCAAACAGGCACCTATCAAGATAAAAACTTCGCTAATATTTCTACAAATTCTTATGCAGATAAATTATATGTAGATACTCCAAACCATTTGTATCAAGAGAAACATTATCAGAGGACCAGTCATAGTGGGTTCATTGATAAACACTACTCTGTTAGCCAAGCAAACTTGTTTAATGAAAATAAGAATTTTATGAACAATGCACTGGGTGCAATGGTCAGTCCTGGTAATGCTTACAACAAAAAATCCTTCTCCCAGAGCCCCAACACATCTTTAGAAGAAAAACAGTATTTAGAAAGCTCAGCCACTGTGTTTTCCAATAAAAACTTGGTTGAGAGCAGGAAGGGTTTCTCTGATGAAAATTCCACCCTAATAAAAAGTCAGTCTACAATTTCAAACAGTGACCATTTAATGCAGCCATATGGCATCACAAGAAATCACTATAGTATGTCACCGTTAACTTCCAACCAAATATCATTGAATAACAGTATTCATTTGCACCACACTCATATGCCCAGTGAGGCATATGCTTCTCCTGATATGCAAATTAGTCAAAGCGATCGTATTTCCTCAAGTCTGGCTATGCATCGTCCAGATCATCACTTGGCATCTAGTGTACAATCAAGCCCTCTTCATGACTACAAACATGAAATATCAGGATATGCATTTCCATATAATAAAACCTACATGACTGCCAATGTGAATAGCTTGAACTCACGAAACACATTCCATGGTGGATTTCATAGATTTCACCAAGACCAACAGCTCTCTTCATTTCAACTTCTTCCACAAACTGCTTTTCCTGAAAATTCTCATCATGCCTAAAAATAACCTTTATTGTAAAATCTACATATCATTCAGAATTTTAAGTAGTTTAAAAAGGAATCATTTTTATAACTACACAATTTATAACCTCACAAAGACAAATTTAAGGCATAATGTTATGAAAACCTGTAAGAGTTACAAGATAAATATCTCCATCATTGTAAAAACTCAATGTTTGTGAATTTCTTATAACTAATTGTTATGTGATAAAAACATAAAAGTGTCTGCCAAGAAAAAATTGTGTCAGCTGTTAAGACATATATTTTATTGTAAAATATTAAAATGCTATTATTATTGTCTGATATTAAAATACTAAATAACTAAAATGAATTTGTATATTCTGAAACAATGTTTAATATTTCGAATTGTTCTCACATTCATGGCCATGTAGACATCATTAAATACTTCAAAGTGCTCATTACAAAGTAAAATGATGTCAATTATAGTCTACTTTAAAAGACATACTTTAGTCAAGTCATTGGTAAAAGTCTTCTATTAAGAATAGATGCATTACTCAAAACAGGTTTTCTTCCAATTAATTGGTGCTTTCAATTTGATGTTTAATTGTATATTATAATAATAATGTAAAATAATGTACACATTGGGTGTATATATTTAAACAAAAAATATTAGGACACACTACTAGTACTTGTAACTCTTTAATCCTAATTGTATAGATTGTACAAGATATAAGATACTTGATGTTTGAACAAAGGAGAATGATGGTTGACACTTCTTGTATGTTGCCCCAACAGTCCAACAGACTAAGGAATAGGTGAAGGTGATATTTGAACATGATAACCATGTTGAAGATAATCAAGCATTTCATCAATAATTTTTTTTTCATTCTTAACAGTGATCACTGTACTTGGTGGCTGATTGGTAAAGTGCTTGGCTTCCAAACTGAGGTGTCATGGGTTCGAATATCTGTGAAGACTGGGATTTTTAGGACGCCCCCCAGTCCGCCAACTCTATCATTAGTTGGGAAAGTAATGATGGTTGGTCGTTAAACGTATGCCAATAGAAACAGATGACCTTTACATTATCTGCCCCATAGATCACGTGGTCTTAAGGGAGGTACTTTAACAGTATCAATTAATACAAATTTGGTCAGATATATTTCATTCAATTTCATTTGTGGTATACAAGTCATTTAACAACAGCATCATCCAGAAAGATGTGTTCAGAGTAAAAACTTTATATTATTTAGTATGTATTTTATTCTTACTGACATAATAGTCTATGTATAATTTAAAACAATGATATTTTTAAGCTTTACATACATGTATAATGTTTACATTGAGTTTTTATTTACTAATGTGTGATATTCGATGATTTCTAGTCATGTAATGCTAATATTTTAAATGTAAATATACACTCAGATCTGCTCATTTCAAAAACTTTTGTATTTTGATGGCAATGGGCAAGTAGAATCTCAGCCTGATAATGCATAAATAATATTTACTTTTTATTTATATATTTTTCTCAGAATTTTTTTATAAATAGTTTTTTACTTGTATATAATTTAATAATGATTGTTATAAATCCTGCTAAGTTTTCTTAAAAATGGATGACATTTTTAATTTATTTATGTGCACAAATCCCTTGATTGATTTCAGTCACACCATTGTCTTATCTCAATTCAAAAACAGCTAATTTGATGAGCTTTAAAAAAGTAGGCTTTCTTTATATGAAACATATTGAGCAACAGGCAAGAATAGTAATAAACCCTACTAAATTTGCTAATAACAATAAAACTCTTTATAAACAGTGATTTCAAAACTTTAAAAAAAAAATGTTGTGTTCACATTAGTTAGTGGCCTACAACATAAAATGTACTCTTATTAAGACTATCTAGCATGTCTGACTTAGTTAAGCAATTAAATGAAATTTTTCAAAAATTTAATATTCAATTTAATGCATTTGGTATATAGGTAAGTGAGAAACATTATTTCCAAAAATCATAGTGATATAGTGTAGGCTATTCGTTATCCTTTTTAAAAAGTGTTTATATACAAATAGTTATCCATTTTTTAGATACTAATATTGATAATGGTTACTACAGCTAGGCTTATGGTAACATAAATATATACTCTGTATGACTGTCAGAGTATTGCATACAGTACATCTATTTTTGTAAATGTTCAGTATATGATATTCATGTTAAATAAATAGTTGACACTATTATGGATTAAACATTCTTTTTTTTTGATAAGTTGCAAACTTTTTCTTTGTTTAAAATATGTGTATGTGTAGAAGACATGTGCAGAAGACGAAAGGAAAACTTAATAGACC